GAGGAGCGCCAACGGCGCGACGCGGCCCGGGTTTCGCACACAGCAGCCCCCGGCAGGGCTTATGGAACAGCGTGTGAGCTTTGGCGAACTATCATAGCCGCAGACTTGTCCATGCGAAAAAGGAGCGCAGATTAAATCCTGATGTCCGGAACGGACTTATATGTGTTTGTACTGTTGTGAAAAAAAACACACCAACACAACACGAGAGCTACGAGCGGCTCTTAATCTCTCTTCTCGCACATATGTTCCCTCCCCTCACAGGATGCAGATGCAGAATGCAGAATGCAGAATCGGCCCCAAAGCTGTGAACTGCGCCCGATGCAGGATGCAGATGCAGAATGCAGAATGCAGAATCAGCCCCATAGCTGTGAACTGCACCCGATGCAGGATGCAGATGCAGAATGCAGAATGCAGAATCAGCCCCAAAGCTGTGAACTGCACCCGATGCAGGATGCAGATGCAGAATGCAGAATGCAGAATCAGCCCCAAAGCTGTGAACTGCCCCCGATGCAGGATGCAGATGCAGGATGCAGAATGCAGAAGCGGCCCCAAAGGTACAGCTGTGAGAGACGTGCAGGATGCAGGATGCAGAATGCAGAATGCAAAAACTCACCCACAGCCAGGAGAGAGCGAATAGAGTATGATGCAGGATGCAGGTGCAGAATGCAAAAACTCGCCCAATATAGGTAGGAGAGGCCAAAAAAAGAGTCGTACGGAATGCACAATGCAGGTGCGGAATACAGAATCCCACCCAAGAGTGCACTGTGTGTGCAGAGAGGGTCTGTAGATGATCTCTATGCAGACTGCAACCTGCATGCTACATGTCTCAAAATGTCGGTTCTAAGTTGTATACGCGGTCTCCGACGACGACCCTTAGCCCCTGCGCCGCCTCGATTTCGCATCCGCTCCGCGGCCGACTGACGGGCCACCCCTTCCCCTCGTGCTTTTATTTTCCGCTTCACCCCCCCCCCCCTGGCCTCATCAGCCGGATGGATTTCTTTTTAGAAGATGCAAACCAACCGCGGTTGGTTTGCATCTATTTTGGCGCGAACGCCCGCCGGCGCCGCCTTTCAAGATGCAAACCAACCGCGGTTGGTTTGCATCTATTTTGGCGCGAACGCCCGCCGGCGCCGCCTTTCAGAGCCGTCGTACCCTGGAAGCCTGGCGAATCCAAGAGGGTGGGAACAAAGAAAAAAGGGCTTTAATGCCCCCAAAAGAAAGAAAGAAAACTCACCCCGGGAGCGATTCGGCGAGTTTTTCTTCTTACCGGCCGGACGGGCGCTGAGAGCTCACTGCTCGCCGGCACCGCTTCCGCCATCTCTCAGCCCTCTCGCCGCGATGCCGCGGCCGCGGTCAGCGAGCCCCTCCATATGTGTACCCTCCCGTCACGGCAGGGCGCCGGACCGCTCGTCGGCGCCGTCTGCCTGCTGCCGCGGCTCTCGAAGTGCCGCTTGCACTCCTCCGTCGCCGCTGTGCTTGCGCGCCTGAGGTGGGCCGGATCCGCGCCCGTCGCCGATTACGTGGCCCGCGCACCCGACCACCTCGCTCCTCGCCCGGCGAGATCTCGGTGCGCGGCCGCTGCTGCTCGCAAGGCACGCCGGCGGCGCGCCCTGCCATGCGGATGCGAGTGCCTTCGCACTGCTAGGTGGTCGCGGCGCTCCGCCGCTTCGCGGACCGCGGCCGCACCCTCGCCTGCACCATCCACCAGCCGCGCGCCGAGACGTTCCGGCTCTTCCACCAGCTGCTGCTGGTCAAGGCGGGCGAGACAATGTACTGCGGGCCGGTGGCGCAGGTGCCCCGCACTGTCTACCGCACCACCCACGGGACTGAACCCACGCTTGGAGGCGACGGCCCTGGCGGGGACGGTGCCAGTGGACTCGCAGGTGCCCGACTTTCTTCGCGGCTGCGGCGTGCCGTGCCCGCCGTCGGTGAGCTCGCGCCGCCGTGGGCCGTCGAGACATTGCGTCGGGACACGTCTGCACGGCGTGTCCGAGACGCGTTGTCCCCCCGGCAGGTGAACCCCGCCGATGTGGTGGTCGACCTCACGCACACCAAGGAGGCGGACGCGGACGAGGACGGCGGCGAGGCGGTCGATTTGGTGGCGCGCTTCGCAGAGTCGGACCTCCGGCGCGAGATGCGACGCGTCCCATACCTCCGCCGTGCCGAACCCAGCGTGGGTTCAGTCCCGTGGGCCGTGCGGTAGGCGCGAGATCGAGGCGGAGATCGACTCGGTCGAGATCGGCCGCCATCCCGCGCTGGCGGACCTGGCGGCCCAGTCGCTCAAGGCGCCGCAGGAGGAGGAGGGGCGCGGCGGCTGCTGCGGCGGCGGCGGCGGCGGCGGCTACCCAAACCCGCTGCTGCACCAGGTCGGTGTGCTCGTGCGGAGGCAGTGGACGCTGGACCTGCGCGACTTTGGGTACAAGTTCACTTGGGTGGGCTTCAGTGCAGCCTCGTCCCTCGCGCCATTCCTGGAGGAGGCTGGCTCACGACGCGGCATCCCGCTCTCCTCAGGTCCTCAACGGCTTCGTGCTCGCCCTCAACGCCTCCACGTACCTCCTCGTCGCGCAGGCCCGCTCACCCAGCGTGCGTTGGGCCTTGCGCTCTGAGATGCCGCGCCGGCGCCCGCCCGTGTCCCGGTGTGGAGCCGCGAGGTCTAGGAAGTGTCTAGGAAGTGTCCCGGTGTGGAGACGCGAGGGTCGCCTGGCCCTCGCCCCACCACACTCTCTCTGTGTGTGTGTGTGTGTGTGGAGAAGTGTCCCTCCCCTTCCCCTCCCCTCGTCGCGCAGCCGCCGCTCGACGCGCAGCCCGCCTCCGTCTACCGCGACGACATGGGCTGCTCGGCGAGCCTCGGTAGCGGCGACGGGGTGCAGGGGTGCGTCTGCCACTTGGACATGGCAGACAGCGCCGACGGCGGATACACCGTGGCCGACGACGTGGCGGAGTGCGGCCAGGCGCGTGGCCCCTCGAATGCTTTAAACACACGCGCCTCTCTCACAGCCCACGGGGCACGACGAGGGCGCGGACTGGCGCAGACTAGCACGCACACCGGCACACCACCGGAGCAGCCGGTCCCTAGAGGCGGACACGCGGCTTTGGAAGCGGAGCGCGTGCTCTTGTCCGTCCAACTAGCGCTCGAGAGGAGGCGCACTCGGCTGTGTACCACTCCGCCGCCACGCGGCTGCCTTCCCCGCCCCCCCCGCCCTGAGGTGTGCGCGTGCACGGCGTTAGGCGCTGGTGGCGCGCACCAACGTTGACTTTGCGCACCGCGGCCTCCTCTTCCTCCCCTACCTCCAGAGGGGTCGAATCCGGTGTGCGAATCTCAGCCGCGTGGGTGGCGCGGTAGGCTTCCTCTTCCTCGTCGTCAACGCGCTCTTCATCAACGAGGCGGTCTTCGTCCCGACCATCATCGCCGACAAGCGCTTCTTCGCGCGCGAGCACGGAGCGAACGCCCGCTCTGCGATGCATCTCGCCACATCTCCCCGCATCTCCCCACACCTCCCCACACCTCGCCGCATCCCCCCACATCTCCCCACACCTCCCCACACCTCCCCACATCTCGCCACATCTCGCATCTCTGCCCACACCTCCCCACATCTCCCTACATCTCGCCATATCTCCCCACATCTCCCCACATCTCGCCACACCTCCCCACACCTCCCCACATCTCCCCACACCTCCCCACACCTCCCCACACCTCCCCACACCTCCCCCCATCTCCCAACATCTCCCCTCGCAGGAGCGCGCGCCTACTCTGTCCTCGCCTGGCACGCCGCCTTGCTCGTCACGCGGCAGACCGGCGCAGCCCACTCTGAGCCACCACTCCTTCCTCCTCACTCAGGCACCTCGCCTGGCTGGTCAAGCTCGGGCTCACCGCGGCGCTCAAGGCGCTCTTCTACACGCCCTGCTTCTACTTCCTCGGCCAGCTCCGCCTCGACGCCACGGCCTACCTCGCCGCCGCCTTCGCCACCGGCGGGATGGGCTTCGCCGGCTCCGCGGTCGAGATCCCCCCGAGATTGCCCGAGATCTCGCCGAGATTGCCCGAGATCTCCCCGAGATTGGGATGGGCTTCGCCGGCTCCGCGGTCGAGATCTCCCCGAGATTGCCCGAGATCTCCCCGAGATTGCCCGAGCTCGGGATGGGCTTCGCCGGCTCCGCGGTCGAGATCCGCCCGAGATTGCCCGAGATCTCGCCGAGATTGCCCGAGCTCGGGATGGGCTTCGCCGGCTCCGCGGTCGAGATCTCCCCGAGATTGCCCGAGATCTCGCCGAGATTGCCCGAGCTCGGGATGGGCTTCGCCGGCTCCGCGGTCGAGATCTCCCCGAGATTGCCCGAGATCTCGCCGAGATTGCCCGAGATCTCGCCGAGATTGCCCGAGCTCTCCCCGAGATTGCCCGAGATCTCGCCGAGATTGCCCGAGATCTCGCCGAGATTGCCCGAGATCTCCCCGAGATTGCCCGAGCTCTCCCCCGAGACCCGAGCCAGTTCACCGCGCCGGCTCGCCGGTCGGGAGGCTGGCCGCACCTCGCCATATCTCCCCATATCTCCCCATATCTCGCCGGTCGGGAGGCTGGCCGCACCTCGCCATATCTCCCCATATCTCCCCATATCTCGCCGGTCGGGATGCTGGCCGCGCCTCGCCCCTCCCCCCCCCTCCCCCCCCTCCCCCCCCCCCCGTCTCCCTACCATCCTCCCCCCTTGCACACCCGTGCCTACATAGGTCGCCATGCTCATCACCACGCTCATGCCCGGGCTCGGCGCCGCCACCACCGCCTT